TAAATATCCACCTTTAGTAGGTCTACTAGACTGAAGATATTCATAGTCATAGTGCAAAAATATTGTGCCCATATAGAATTATAGAAGTGATTTATTTAACAACCTGTAATACAATTAAATACTTAAATAAGTATTGTACGTACTTACCGCTTATTGCGCGATTTTTCCACCATGAACATTCAAAGTAGTTCTTAAATATCGTACTGTGAACCGCTCTGAACCAAACTGGACAAGACAATGGACAACCGTTTTTGCATTAACTAGGTACTATAATAGTCACCAACATAGATAGATACATACGTACAAGATTACAGTGTATTACAAAAAGTGATGAAATCCAAATTCAAAATATTATATGACTCAAACAACAGACTATCGCAGTATCGCGTACTGTCTTTTGGTTGCCGGGCTGCAGAATGACAACTGTAAACATTGCATGTTACTTTATCCATTTATAAGCTTTGATTCCCTACATATAGAGTACTATTTCGTGCAGCCCTGTTTGACGTTGACGGCTTGAGCTTGGCCACGGAAATGACAATTCACATATTATGTGAACTTGACGTTTGCTTCATTTGCCAATTTTTATACAAGAATATTTTAAGCCACATATTTAAAATAGACAAGCAGACCGAACATTAGCTACAATTGAAGCCAAAAACACATATGCGCAATTTATAGTTTCAACGGGGCCGGACTAAGGTCGGCATTAGAAGGAAAGTACATTATTATTATAACTGACTACATAGAGGTAAGCGTGTCTTTGGTATAAATAGTCAATATTTATAAATACTGAATAAATATCCATTTTTACTATAATTTTCATTTATGTGCTACCGGAATGGATGTGAGAGAATCGTATGTAATTTATATAATTCCGAAACTAGTTATTTAGGAACGAAAATGTGTAAATGTTTTTTTTTTATACCACGACGGTGGCAAAAAGTTATACGGCCCTTCTGATGGTTTTCACAAATAAAACAAGTTAAAGGGAAAATAATATTTTTTATTAAGGCACTTGTTACGGTTAAGAATATCAGGTAATAGTCATCTCCTTCCCCTCAATAACACTGACCACTCCCGAGTCATGTGCTTGTACTGTCCTGTTAAATTTTGTTGTACATTCCTAAGCATTTCAGGTACCTACTTTTTATGATAATAGGCAATCGTTAAAATTGACACACAGTGGATACATAACATAATAAAATTGTAAAAAACAAGTTTGTTAGATTATACAACTTTGTAGTAACTATAAAACAATATAATATATTTAATCTTCCGAAACTCTAAATCCGTCCTCTGTTGATTCTATAAGTAGGTACCTACCTACTTGAACTGTCATGAATGAAAAATTGATTTGATTTTGTTTGGGCAAAAGGGTATAGTTGATAACGCTTCGTAATAAATGATTAAACATTACCAAAATAGTAGATTTATTTAAAAAAATCAACAATTTGTTTTAGTCTACAACAACATAAATTCTTTAATGTGTCGCTATTCCTTGTTCCAATATTTACATAATATTAATACTCAAGTTAGATTGTTGGGTCGAGGGCCTAATGCAAAAAGCAGTACTTCTGGATACGGCGCGTATTGTCCGGAAATGATTTTCTCTGGAGCCCTTATCGCCTGTAGCTTTGATTTCTCCCGTTATTGGTGGGCTACAGCATTTTATACTTTTAAATATATAAATCAGGTTTGGAAATAAATTAAGGGAAAATAAAATACATATATGACGCCTTTTCTAAGAACACAATACCTACTTAGAAAATGGATTCAAGTATAGAACTGGAAGCTCGTTACGTCACCACTCAGTATAAAATCGTGTTGTCACATAATATTTGAAAATAAACTTATTCTCTACTACTTTCGACTATAGGTGTGAAAGAGCCATGCTTCGGCACAAATGGGCCGGCTGACCGGAGTGGTACCACGGCCTCACAAAAGACCGACATGAAACAACGCTTGCGTTGTGTTTCGTCGCATGAGTGAGGTTATCGGAGGCCCAATTACACCCCCTCTCCCCTTTCCCCAATTTCTGAATCCCCAACAATTCTCAAATTCCTAATCCCAAAAGGCCGGTAATGGATTTGTAACGCCTATGGTGTTCCAGGTTTCCATCGGCGACGCCGATTGCTTACCATTAGGTGATCCGTCTGCTCGTTTGCCGGCTTATACCATAAAAAAAGGTATATCGTCGAAAGTTTTGATTCCGTAAAAATAAAAACACTTTTTTTAATGTTTGAAATGAACCTACAAGACGGATATTAAAAAATAGTCATCGTTCTGAACTACCCAAGATGCCTTGGGTTGTTGAACGCTAATAGACCTGAGGCCTTAGAACGATTTTTTTAACTTTTAAAGTACTAGCGACTTCCGCGCAGTTTCACATGCTCTGCTCAGCTCCTATTGGTCGTAGCGTGATGTTTTATAGCCTATAGCCATCCTCGATAAATGCGCTATCCAACACAAAATTTGAATTATCCAAATCAGACTTGTAGTTACGCAGATTAGTGCGTTCAAACAAACAAAAAGACAAACTCTTCCGCTTTATATATATAATAGTATAAGATAAGATATACATTAGGTACATACCTAAAGTACAAAAACGAATTACTGGTTTAAACAGTTTAATGAAAATTAAATTAGATAACAAACAGGCATGAAAAGTAGGTAGTAGTACAATATATGTAATTTTAATCTTAATAAATCAGGAAATTAAAGACTATTTTTCCAGTCCATCTCCAAAATCATTGCAATAATGCACCTTTACTATATTGGACGGATGTGTTTTGAGTTTTTCACGTATTTCTGCCATTATAGATTTATTATACGGTTCTTTATAATATTTATCACAATACTTAGACACGGCTTTAGATACGACTAAATAAATAGGAATAAAATCTTGGTCATCTAACATATATTTTACGGTTTCTAGAACAAAGTCATTATCACGGAAACCCAAGATTTCGAACATTTTTTCAAACGCATCTGAGAATAGATTGAATACTGTAGAACTGTAACGTTCGGAATCTTCTTTCAAAAAGTTCACGACCATTGGTCCAAATGCGGGTGCCAATTTGGAATGAATATCTTTCCAAATACTTTCCGCGTCTTGTGCCATGTATGGCGGGTTATAATCAACGCGTTGAATAAGATGTGAAATTGAAAAATTGGTCAACTTAAAGGCATCAGCCACGCTTCTATGGTCTTTTAATAATTTTATGTATTCCGTCACAAGTTTCCAGCTTGTGTAGACTACATAGTTTTTAGAAACTGGTATTCCTTGTTTTAATGTTGTTTCAATTTCGGCAAACAGTTGCGTGGGTATAGGTACCTTATTTAAAGTAAAATATACTCTGAAATACCATGCCAAAGAATCCAACAATTGGTTTAATTGTTTTTGAACGTAAAAAGTTCCATAAAAATTATGTTTCCAACACTTAAACACTTCTTCCATCGCTGGATACAAAACTTTTTTAAATCTCAAAACTTGGTTTTCTTCCTTGTCTCCAAATAAGACGTAACATGCAAATGAGTCAATATAAACACTGTTGTTTGTACAGAATTTTGTACCTGCTGGTGATAGTAACTTTTCTTGGACGAAATCTTCATCAAGTGATTCCATTACTTTTGGAACACATTGGAATAATTTATAAAAATATGAGTCATTGTTATGTGTATCAGGTAGTGTTGAAAAGAACTCATAACATTTCATGAACATATTTGCTTGTATACAGATTGGAACAGTTTCAATGTTATTAAATTTTTTATAAATACTTATTTTTTGTTGAAAACTTAAGCCATTCAAAATTATATTTAGTAATTTCCAAAGCTCTTTAACATTAGAACTATTTTTTTCATCGCGAATTTTATTATATGTGTGCTGAAAAATAACGGACTTCAATGAAGGATTTTCTGTGGAGTTCCAGACATTTGTAAATATATTAATAAGTTCACTAGCTTCAAATTTTAAAAACACTAATAAAAGTCCGAATTTTAATAGTGAAACGGGTGCATCCAAGAATAATGGTAGATATTTTCGACTCTCGATTTCATTCAGATTGGATAATAAAGCATTCAGTGAAGGCACTGTATACTGTAAATAATCTTCCTTAGCGTACCACAGCACTGTATCCAAAGGTACAAGGGGCCTGGCTACATGCAAATATTTTGCTATATTTTTTCGAATGTTAACTTCAGTGTGGTCTGTAAGACCCCAAGTTATTTTGAAATTATTAGGAACATATTTACTAGAAAATTCCTTGATTTTGCTTTCCGACATAAGGACAAATAAACCTTCAATAACAGCTTTATGTCCGGTAGGTCCGTTTAAGCTTTGCATGTAAGCCTCTGTCCAGTGTCGGGCGAGTGAGTCCGGCCAATAGACGCGCAGCTTCGCGAGCACACGCCGCAGTGAGACCGTGTCGTTAGTTCGCAACGTGTGTATTTGTTTGTCGTGACGCGTCAGCAGCTGTGGCTTGTGCTTCAGAGCGTTCAGACACGTTTCCTCGCACGGAGAGAGTGACAGCGACTCCTCAAACATGTACTTGCGCCATGATTTGTTCACATTGTATAAGCTTGACATGTCTGTGGTCCACTCGTTTTCTTCTTTTATCTTAATTAGTTCTCGGATTTTTTCAACTAAGAATGGGTAATCAGCGATTGTTTTATTAAAATCTTTTAACAAAATCAACACATTCTCTATCTTGTGTAAAGTTCTATCAAAATCAGATTCATCTACAACATTTTCTGTTTTAATTTTTGCCCATGAAGTGTCTAACATGTAAGCGAATAATTTGCTTTTTTGTTCTTCGTTTAAGGTTTTATGCATGTTTGTGAAACCGTTAAATATATTCTTTTGTTCTACTATTTCTGGTACTGGTTCATTGTGCAAAATATTGTATAAAACAACAGCTTGCAAGGACAATTGCATCTTCCTTTTTTTTGATTCAACGTACACTTCCAAACTGTGAAATAATTGGTTCAAATAATTCCAGGTTTCAACGTCGAAGTCATGAATGGGCACATTTGATATCAGAGTATTAACAAATTCTTTTTTGAATTTAAAAGGTTCATTAATGTGGTTTTCAGCGACATATTTAACCAATAACTTAATACTTTCTATATCGTTTTTAGCACATAAAATCAAAGTCGATAACAAACCCCAACGTTCAGACGGCTTGCTTTGTTGGGACATTTTGTTTTTAAAATCAGAAAACGCTTCCTCAAAGGTGGTGAATTCGTACCATTGATGTTTTTGTATCTTTTTGTTAACCTCATATTGCTGTTCGCCATTAAGTAACAAGTTTATTTCATTTTGATCTATTAAAGTATTTTTAATGAATTTAAATTTATTTTCTTGTGGCATGTTGTTCAGAAAATGCTTCCATGTGTCAAGCTTGCAAATATCTTCCTTACTCAGATGTTTCATTGCTTTCTGAAGATATGTCTTTATTTCATTTTTCTGTAAATATTTGATGAAAACGGATAAGTCAAGAGATCCAATGTACCTGTCAAAATTTCCTAAAACGTTTTGACGATATTTTTTCATTAGAATTTCAGTTTTATTTTTTCCCAACTTGGGTAACTTTTCATGCCTCTGGTCTTCTAACATTTTTAACCCGTCATCAGTATGAGACTTTAGCATAAATGCAATATATGTATAATATTGACTTGCTTGTTCTGCATCACCTTCATGCGGTTCTACGTGTGCATATAAAGAGAGAAATCGCGCGGATTTCTTGCATAACCGCTTGAAAAGCCACACTGGTATGAGGCGTTCGTTTTTTATTGTATTTTCAATGAAAGGTATTGAACAGTTCTGCAACCATTTACAGGCGCTATCTGTATCTTTGAAGTGTTCATAGAAGGCTTCAACTCGAGTTTCATCTTTCAGATTGAGTCTGATGTGAAGCAAGAGTTTGTTAAATGCTTTGGTGGTCATGTAAGGTTTTAGTTGTGTGTGTAGGTACTCAGGGTTGATGATGTTTGCGTACTGCGGGTCGGTGATTAGCCACGTGGACTTTTTAATAGCTGTCGCCGCATACAGCATGTCTTTGGATTTCATTACTTCGATGACGTAGTCTACATTTCTGGTTTTACACGCGACTTCTATTTTCAGAAGGTTGTCTATGTCGCTGTCTGTGTCACTAGTCGGCGTTAGTTCATAATGTTTGCTAGCGACTGCGTCTGCGACAAGTTTGTTGAAGTGTCGGCGCTTATCGCCAAATGTCTCTTCCTCTAGCGTCAGTTCCGGCATGATGATGAACTGGAAACGTAATGTTTTGTGTTAAAATTTTTTTCAACTTAATTTTTATTGGTCTTGTGGAGGTGAATGTGTGATTCCTTAGAAATAATTCCCGAACATTGGGAATAAGAAGTAATAAATAATATAAAAACACTCAAGTTCGTATTGACGTAGGATTAGATTGGTTCTCTTACTTGAGGCGTCCCAAGTAAAAAATATACCAGCAATATTATTATGTTAATAACTCGTTAAAGTGCCTGAGTATTATATAAGATAATAAAGAATTATTATTCTTTTGACTATTGTCAATCTCAATCAAGTCAATAATTAAGTGAGGTGGTTATAGAAATGATGTAGTTGTTTATTACAGTATAGACAAAAAATAGCAGTTCATGTATGTAATACATCTATACATTTTAGTTATGTATGTAATACATAATAACTTTCAGCAGAACCATGTTATAGGGTTATAGAATAGAGCTAATCGAGGAAGTACCGTAAAATGGGGTGAATAGGGATCGCTTTTGAAGGTGGGGTCGTGTCGAATGAAATGAAATGAACAAACATATAATACTATCTATGTATTTATTTTTCCACAGTAAAATCTCTTAATACTAAGCTTGGAATAAGTATAACATTACATTTAAATCACATTAGCCATAAATAAAACGAATGAACAACGTGGGATCTAAAAGGCTACCTCGAGCAGGATTAGAGATCTGTCTTCTAAATAGTTTTGAAAAAGAACCAAATGGTTATTCCTAATACACGTTTTTTCTAATTTATTTACGAGTAGGCGCGGACAGATGGTATCGAAAAGCCTTTGCACATCACATATTCGTTACATCACTAGTACGACATATACATTATTATTTATAATATTATATATACCCACGTTATACAAACATTATAAAAACCTTTAGAGGCATATAATTGGAAAATAAAAATAAATGCGTTTCTAATCGAAGGACTGTACTAATTAGGCCACAGTAATGGTGTAGGTCCTACACTGTAGGATGAAAGTAAAAAGAAATACAATTAAGAGAATATTATAAAGACGTATACAAACATTAATTACAAATATACAAGATATAGATACACTTACGCCCAGATTCACTAAGGCTGATGAACTCCTATATCGGTTGAATTATTAAATGATAAAGAATGTATGAACATACATACATATGCATATACATATAACCAAATACAACTGCTTTGTGGTTAAAATTGTACGAGTATAACGCGCTGTTTATTATAAAAATAAGTATTATAAATTGCATTAACAGCTGACTGCTCACCACCTCGTCGATCAAGTGGTTTGTAGGTATTATTGTTTCACCTTCTCGATTCCATATGAGAAGCTTCCCATTCCCATATATGAAGAATGAAATGTAGTAAGTAGCACCTATGTTGTTTGATTTCAACAGTATAGCAATTGTGCTATACTGTCATGGCCATTGGGCCATGGTCATGGAATACATGTGTCAGTATATCTGTTAGATAGTTGATAATCGATTTAACAAGCTATCCGTCAATCTTCCACGTAATTACAAAAGTCGTTGTTAAATTGTACCTGTACCGATATCGATTCATTAGATTTTAGTATTTGCAATATTTCTGATCGTGCATGCTTTGTTTCTTCATGTAGATGTTTCGGCATAATTTTAGATACAACTAAATATGCAGAAACAAAACCATCGTCACTTAACACGTGTTTCAAGGTCTCTGTTATCATAGTATCGTGTATGAATAACATTTTAAACATTTTGTCTAGAGCGACCGCAAACAAATTATGTATCATTGGACCATATTTATCTGTGTCCTCCTTTAAATATTGTAATATTATTGCACTGAATAAAAGCGAAACGTCTCTATCGTAGTCTGCATTTTCTTTTTCATGACATTGCTCATATAATTTATAGATTTGAATATAAGCTGTTACAAGCTTCCAGCTAGTGAGCATTTTATAGTTTTCTAACACTGACAAACCATTTTTCATTTTACATTCTATTTCTGCAAACAATTTGGCGGGTATTAGTATAGTTTTACCATACCAATTTCCATTTTTGAATAGAAGCGTAGCGAGCCTTAAAAATCTTTTAAAATTTGCTTTACATGAATTTGCATTATACCAATTCTGAAAAGCTATGTCAAATGCTGGTTCTATTTTTTTAAATCTTTGCAGCTGGTTTTCCTCACTTTTACCGTATATTAAGAAATTTGCAAAACACTCAAGAATAAAATTATTTGATGAACAAAATATGGTTTCTACAGGTGTCAGTAATAAACTGAAAACGAAGTCTTCGTCTAACGAATCCATGTGTCGAGGTGCGAAGTATAGTATTTTACCTATGTACCTTTCACTATAGGGTAACGATGCTAGATAATGAGTAATTTTCATGTAATATTCCGGTTGTTTTTCATAGGGAATAATTTCAAAATTAGTTAATTCTGTATAAAGATCTGTACTTTCATCCTCTGAACTTAAGTCATCTATAAACATGTTTAGTATCTTCCATAACTCGTTTTGAACTGTTTCATTGTCATGAGCTTTCTGCAGTTCATACTTAGTACGATTAAAAATAATTGATTTGATTGTTAAGCTTTTGGTGGATTTCCAAATTTTCCAAAAAACTTGAATGACTTCACTAGTTTCTAATTTTAAAAATGCTTGCTTAAGTACGAACTTTAGTAAACACAAGGGTGCATCGTACATTTTTGACAAGTTTTCCCGAGTGTCAACTTCACTCAGAGTGGACCAAATAGCAATATACGACAGAATTGTATATTGCACATAGTCACCATTAGCATACCACAGCACTGAATCCAAAGGAACGAGTGGCCTAGCAAGGTGTAAATATTTTGCTATATTCATTCGAATGTTAATTTCGGTATGATTAATGGGACCCCAATTTATTTTGAAATTTTCAGGTACGTATTTTTTCGCTAATTCAATGACTTGTTTTTGGGACAAAAGTACCAAAAGACCTTTAATGCCAGCGGCATGTCCCGTTGGTTGATTTAAGCATTGCATGTAAGCCTCTGTCCAGTGTCGGGCGTGTGAGTCCGGCCAGTAGACGCGCAGCTTCGCGAGCACACGCCGCAGTGAGACCGCGTCGTTAGTTCGCAACGTGTGTATTTGTTTGTCGTGACGCGTCAGCAGCTGTGGCTTGTGCTTCAGAGCGTTCAGACACGTTTCTTCGCACAGAGAGAGCGACAGCGACTCCTCAAACATGTACTTGCGCCATGATTTGTTCACTTTGTATAAGCATGACATGTCTGTGGTCCACTCGTTCTCTTCTTTTGCTTTTATTAGTTCTTGCATTTGTTCGATCACTAATGGAAAGTCATTGAGTGTTTTATTAAAATCTTTTAACAATTTAAGCACATTTTCTATCATGTGTAAAGTTTCACGAAAAGCAGGTTCATTAGCAAACCCTGTGCGTTTTGCTTTTGCCATCATACAATTTAGTACATAATTAAATAATTTACTTTTTTCTTCTTCACTTAAAGTTTTAATAACATTTTTATATGAACTAAAAGTGCACTTTTGCTCGACGACTTCTGGTACAGGTTCATCGTTCAAAACTTTGCGCACAATTATAGATTCTAGGCACAGTTGTACATCGTTCTCTGATTCAGTGTATACGTCCATACTGTGAAATATTTGATCCAAAATGTTCCACGTTGCCTCATCCAACTTGTGAGTAGAAACGTTCGAAAGCAGATTGTTTACAAAGTCTATCTTGAATTTGAAAGGAATATTCATGTGTTTTTGAGCTACGAACGTTAACAACGACTTCATGTGTTTTGTGTCGGTTTTTGCACTGCTTATCAAAACAGAAAGCATGGCACATCGTTCAGATGGCGAACTTTCTTTCCGTATAAAGCTACTCATTTTAGGAAATGCAACGTCAAACGGGTAAAACTCATACCATTGATAAGTACGAATTGAACTATCAATGAAACTCATTTCATTTTTATCAAATAACGGTTCAGTTCTGTCGATGAACGATTTCTGAATGAAGTTTACTCTTTCTTCTTCCCGCATGTTCTTTACAAAGTTGATCAATATTTTATAATCCTGATAATATCCCATAGTACTTCCGCAAAGAAATTTCTTTATTTCATTTTTGTTCATATATCTAGCTACTATCGACATATCGATCGTACAGCGGTACATTTCAATGTTTTCTAAAACCCTTTGAGGACATGTTTTCATTAGAAATTCTGTTCGCTTTTTTCCCATTTTAGTTACAAACAGTTTTGAATTTTTATCTTCTATAATGTTTAATATGTCTCTAGTACGTGATTTTAACATCGTCAGATATACAGTACCTCGATTTTCTCTTTTGCCGTCAATATACGATGTGCATGTGAGAAAATGAGTAGACTTTTTGCAAAGACGTCTGAAAAAACATAGTGATACATAACAACTTATAGCATTTTCAATAAACGGCACTGAACAGTTCTGCAGCCATTTTTCTTTGCTTCTAAATTCATTACAGTGATCATAAAAGGCTTCAACTCGAGTTTCATCTTTCAGATTGAGTCTGATGTGAAGCAAGAGTTTGTTAAATGCTTTGGTGGTCATGTAAGGTTTTAGTTGTGTGTGTAGGTACTCAGGGTTGATGATGTTTGCGTACTGCGGGTCGGTGATTAGCCACGTGGACTTTTTAATAGCTGTCGCCGCATACAGCATGTCTTTGGATTTCATTACTTCGATGACGTAGTCTACATTTCTGGCTTTACACGCGACTTCTATTTTCAGAAGGTTGTCTATGTCGCTGTCTGTGTCACTGATCGGCGTTAGTTCATAATGTTTGCTAGCGACTGCGTCTGCGACAAGTTTGTTGAAGTGTCGGCGCTTCTCGCCGAGTGTGTCCCCTTCTAGTGTTAGCGGCGACATGATGGTCAGCTGTAAACGTAATGTTTTATCTTACACATACACAAATAACATTACGCCACTTATTCCCTAAGGCGGTTGACAGGGATGTACAAACATAATAATTACGATGTGTAGGTTACTTTTACCAACTCTTATTAAATGTACCCAAAACACTTATTTCGAGTCAAATCTCATAAGGAACGTGTCAAGATTTCGTAAACTAATAACATAGAATCTATAATTTTAAACAATCTAATAATACTTTATCTAACACAGGAGTCGAAGCGAAATCTACGAGGCGGTATGAGTTTTAGGTTATATTTTTTACTTTAAAGTAAAAAGTAGGTCACTACTAGATAGAGTTAAAATAATTAATTATATAATTTTAAAGCCAACATTGTAAAATATTTAGTAAACAGTGAAAAATGAACTACATATAATACGACCAGCTCACTATAATAGACGCTTTGTGCCAATAAAAGCGTTCTAAAAATGTGTAAAATCGTTACAGATTGACTTGGTTTAATATGTTTACTTAATAAAATCCAACACACGTTTTTAATAATTATTTAATTTGATTTCGGACTTTAAGGCCTGTAACAATACTACAAGACAAAAAAACATGAATTCAATAAAAGTGATATAACATATAAATACAGGTAAGTATATTAAAACTCTATTTTAAGTAATTTTAATTGAATTTGTATCAACTGGAACGGTAATGAACCGTAAACACTTTAATCTTCCTCGTATTCACGAAAATCGTTGTTAAATTGTACCTGTACTGATATCGATTCATTCGATTTAATTTTCTGAAATATTTCTGAACGTGCACATTTTGTTTCATCAGAAAGACGTTTCGGCATAATTTTAGATACAACTAAATATGCAGGGAGAAAGTCATTATCTATTAACACGTGTCTCAAGGTCTCTGTTATTACACTTTCACGTAAAAACAACATTTTAAACATTTCGTCCAGGGCGGCCGCAAACAAATTATGTATCATTGGACCATATTTATCTGTGTCCTCCTTTAAATATTGTAATATTATAGGACTGAATAAGAGAGAGATATCCCAATCGTTGTAATGACCGACATTTTCCTCTTCAAGATATTGTTTATTTAGTTTTATTATTTTAACATAAGCTGTTATAAGCCTCCAGCTGGTGAGCAGTTTATAGTTTTCTAACACTGACAAACCATTTGCCATTTTAGATTCTATTTCTGCGAACAGTTTAGCAGGTAATGGTATTGCTTTACCATAATCTGTTACCAGATGGCGAGTAGCAGTATGCAAGAATGTTTCGAAATTTTCCCTGGATGAACCTAATATATACCAATTCTGAAATACTTTGTCGAATGCTGGTGCTATTTTTTTAAATCTTTCAAGCTGATTTTCTTCGCTTTTCCCATATAATAAGAAATTTACAAAACAATCAATCATCCAAGTACGGGAAGAAAAAAATCTGGTTTCTACAGGCGATAACAATAAATTCACGACAAATTCTTCATCCAATGATTCCATATGATTAAATCCAAAGTACAATAAATCATCTAAATAGTTTTCACTGTCGGGTAGCGACGTCAAATAACGGGTAATCTTCATGAAATATTCTGGTCGTTTTTCATAGAGAATAAAATCAAAATTAGTTAATTTTTTACAAATTTCTGTACTTCCATCTTCTGTACGTAAGTCATCTATTAACAAGTTAAGTAACTTCCATAACTCGTTTTGAACTGTTTCATTGTCATAATATTTCTGCATTTCGTAGGCAGTATGATCAAAAATAATTGACTTGACTGCTGAATTCTTAGTAGATTTCCAAATTTTCCAAAAAACGTTTATGACTTCAGTAGTTTTTAATTTCAAAAATGCCTGCTTGAGTACAAATTTTAATAGACTCACTGGCGCATCATAAAGTTTTGGTAAATTCTTCAGACTGTCAACTTCACTCAAAGTGGACCAGATTTCAATATGCGACTGTATCGCATATCGTACGTAATCACCATTAGCATACCACAGTATTGTATCCAAAGGAACGAGTGGCCTGGCAAGGTGTAGATATTTTGCAATATTTATTCGTATGTTAATGTCGGTGTGGTCAGTAAGATCCCAATTTATTTTAAAATTCTCAGGTACGTATTTTTTTGCCAACTCCATGATTTGATTTTGGGATAAAACTACGAAAAGACCTTTAATGACAGCGGCATGTCCCGTTGGTTGATTTAAGCTTTGCATGTAAGCCTCTGTCCAGTGTCGGGCGAGTGAGTCCGGCCAGTAGACGCGCAGCTTCGCGAGCACACGCCGCAGTGAGACCGCGTCGTTAGTTCGCAACGTGTGTATTTGTTTGTCGTGAAGCGTCAGCAGCTGTGGCTTGTGCTTCAGAGCGTTCAGACACGTTTCTTCGCACAGAGAGAGCGACAGCGACTCCTCAAACATGTACTTGCGCCATGATTTGTTTACATTGTATAAGCATGAAATGTCTGTGGTCCACTCGTTCTCTTCTTTTGCTTTTATTAGTTCTTGGATGTTTTCGATCACTAATGGAAAATCATTGAGTGTTTTATTAAAATCTTTTAACAATTTAAGCACATTTTCTATCACGTGTAAAGTTTCACGAAAAGCAGGTTCATTAGCAAACCCTGTGCATTTTGCTTTTGCCATCATACAATTTAGTACATAATTAAATAATTTACTTTTTTCTTCTTCACTTAAAGTTTTAATAACATTTTTATATGAACTAAAAGTGCACTTTTGCTCGACGACTTCTGGCACAGGTTCATCGTTCAAAACTTTGCGCACAATTATAGATTCTAGGCACAGTTGTACATCGTTCTCTGATTCAGTGTATACGTCCATACTGTGAAATATTTGATCCAAAATGTTCCACGTTGCCTCATCCAACTTGTGAGTATAAACGTTCGAAAGCAGATTGTTTACAAAGTCTATCTTGAATTTGAAAGGAATATTTATGTGTTTTTGAGCTACGAACGTTAACAACGACTTCATGTGTTTTGTGTCGGTTTTTGCACTGCTTATCAAAACAGAAAGCATGGCACATCGTTCAGATGGCGAACTTTCTTTCCGTATAAAGTTACTCATTTTAGGAAATGCAACGTCAAACGGGTAAAACTCATACCATTGATAAGTACGAATTGAACTATCAATGAAACTCATTTCATTTTTATCAAATAATGTTTCAGTTCTATCGATGAACGATTTCTGTATGAAGTTTACTCTTTCTTCTTCCCGCATGTTCTTTACAAAGTTGATCAATATTTTATAATCCTGATAATATCCCATAGTACTTCCTTTTTCGCAAAGAAATTTCTTTATTTCATTTTTGTTCATATATCTTGCTACTATCGACATATCGATCGTACAGCGGTACATTTCAATGTTTTCTAAAACCCTTTGAGGACATGTTTTCATTAGAAATTCCGATCTTTTTTTCCCCATTTCAACAATAAATAGTTTTCTTGACGTGTCTTCCAAAATATCTAATACATCTGCAGTTCGTGATTTTAACATTGATAGATACACAGGTTGTCGCTTGTATCTGCCGCCATCAATATGCGTGTTAAATGTAAGAAAATGAGCAGACTTTTTAACTAAACGTCTGAAAAGCCATGCGGATACACAAAAGCTTATGGCATTTTCAATGAAAGGTATGGAACAGTTCTGAAGCCATTTGTCGGCGTTTCTTGCTTTTTTAAAGTGTTCATAAAAGGCTTCAACTCGAGTTTCATCTTTCAGATTGAGTCTGATGTGAAGCAAGAGTTTGTTAAATGCTTTGGTGGTCATGTAAGGTTTTAGTTGTGTGTGTAGGTACTCAGGGTTGATGATGTTTGCGTACTGCGGATCGGTGATTAGCCACGTGGACTTTTTAATAGCTGTCGCCGCATACAGCATGTCTTTGGATTTCATTACTTCGATGACGTAGTCTACATTTCTGGCTTTACACGCGACTTCTATTTTCAGAAGGTTGTCTATGTCGCTGTCTGTGTCACTGATCGGCGTTAGTTCATTATGTTTGCTAGCGACTGCGTCTGCGACAAGTTTGTTGAAGTGTCGGCGCTTCTCGCCGAGTGTGTCCCCTTCTAACAGCAGTGACGGCATGATGGTCAACTGCAAACGTAATATTTTTTTATTATTTCTGCTCTACCTAATAGTTTGCGTTTGCTTCGTGAAAAATGTATTAGTTCAGTTTCAGTGTTATTAGAGAGCAACTTTTAGCAGCAATATTGTGTCCAGTGTTTGTAATAATATATTACATGTATGCTATTTTATTAATATTGTTTAATGCAGAAATATAGAAAATCGATTAATGTATTCATTCATATTTAATCAAATATTTGGGGTATCCATCAACGGTCTGAATTAATTTGAAATTTTATCAATTATTAAAATGTGAAAAACAATTTACAGTACATGATATAATTACAATATTATAGGTAGCCATGGTCTGAAATCCCGCCAGGCACGATTACCTCACCTACTCATCTACTAAGGTATGCAAGAAAGCGATAGAAGCTAGATTTTACTGTACAAGAGTGAGAAAACAAATTGTCCCTCTTTCACAAGTAACAGTAACTTAATAAAAATGTTTTCATTAGAATTCGTTATGTAGTCTTATGTGACTTGATTCACAATTCTATCGAATTCACACAGTTGTCTAAATATTTTTATAGCACATCATTAGCAATATAATAGACTGGAGAATTAATGAGGAAGTTGGAGGATTCGGGTCGCTTCTGGGTTTGTATTTGTAACCATATAACAGTAACACGTAACAGCTGTAGTTTAAGTTTTACCTTTGCGAGTGAATTAAAACAATACTAGGTGATTAATGTCACTAGTTTTGTATTTAAAAGTACTATTGAACAAGGCACATCCAATTCGAATTAAAATTTAGAATCTACGCCATTTACTTATTTTGTGTGTTTGTATATTTGTATGTTTTTTTTTTGTAAAAAATAAAACGTCGATAAAAAGGAATCCACAGGACCTGAGGTGAGTTAAGAGGCCTGAAGGGCTAGCAGGTGACCCCCTCTGTCGACCATTTTAATTTGACACATGATGCTCCAAACACCCTGCATAATGTAGATATCGTGAACTATTGATATCTCGCTGGATTTATTGTGGACTAACGTTGTGTTTATAATCTTACAGCAACATATTATATTTATACAGTTCCTACACAAGGCTACGAGGTCTACCTTGGTCTCATCATATTAAACGTAAGAGTCATTTTTCACTGTATCTGTCTCAAGACTTTTGTAGTGTGGACACAGCCTACTGATCCATATATCGGGAATAACTCTAGATTTCGAGTATAAGTAGCATGAAATCTATAATTTAAAAATCAAACAACTCAATAATACTTTATTTAACCACGAAATCTGATGCAAAATATGTATACGGCAATGATACGATACACAATACCCACAGGAACTCAATAAAGCTAGATAGAAGACAATAATATACATATATATACTATATTAACGATGAAGTCGTGTCTAACGCACCGATTATTTGGTTTGCGTAGTTAAATAACTCATTTACACATCTTGCACAACCAAGCTGCAAGCGGCAACTCATCTAATAGGTAGGTACTCTGTTTGTCTATAGTAAGGAACTTAATCGATGTCGATTAACTTTTTATAAACGTTTGTACTTTCTCCTTGTACTCGTATGCCATCTAGAAATATGTTTAATATTTCCCATAGATCATCTTGGAGTCTCTTATTATAACAAAATGACATGCGATTGAAACTATATTCGTAAATAACGGATCTGGTTGTAGGATCCCTAGCAGACTTCCTTAAATTCCATAAAACTATACCAATAGTTGAAAAGTCTAATCATAGAAGTATATTTATTTAAAATTCTCTATAATTTACATTTTTAAATACTACTTACAAAATAAAAAATGTTATTTAAAATATAAAAAATAGGGGCCGACCAGTAGCGGGAGCATGGTCCAAGCTACCGGTGGTTAGGGCTCCAGAGACAGAAACCTCCTCACGATACGTGCCGTTTCTAGGAGAACAACCTTCTGTATCAGGTCCTTGATCCATCCACCTAACGCCAGCCTTTTGAGATGAATGTCAAGGCTTTTAGGGATTAACCCATTGGCCGATACGACTATCGGCACAATGATAGACGAATCCACATTCCACATGTCGTCAACCTCGTGAGCTAAGTCTAGCTAAATATTTTATTTGTTTATCTTTCTCAGTTTTCACGAGGTTCTCGTCATAGGGAATGGTGCGGCGATTCGACTCGATTATCATCGTGCGACCGACAAGTGCGCCACTTGTCGATCTATCACCATTATGTCAAGTTTATTGGCCACAATAGTCCTTAGTACCTATATATTTATTATTAAGTTGGAAATATTTAATCATTGTTCTTATTATTATTTTAGTATTAATTATGAATATTAATTGATATTCGTTGATTTCATTAAATTAAATAAAAAAACAACATCACATTTTTAAATTCATTAATTTTAATTTCACGAAAGCTTGATTTAGTACGAATTTGAGTAAAACCAGCTGCACATTATGATTTTTAGTATAATTATAATCTCCCGATTGTCAACTTCACCTAAATTGAGTACCTACTTTCCTTAATCAAAAATAAATTATTTCGACTGTTTAATACAATAAATTATTAAAAAATAATCACAATTTCGTTAATAGATTTTATGACCAACGTTTAGTATTTTTCCAGCAATTTTTTTAAGAAATGCGTATTACGCCACAAAAACGTGACGACACAATACACAAACTCATACAAAATTCATAGAAAACAGTCGTTGTTGATAGTTCGAAAAAAGTATAGAAATTGACTAGTTGGCAAGTACCCAACTGGACAAAGTAGCATTGTGCAAAGGAATTACATATTTTACATAATCTTCTTTAGTGTACCAGTACACTGCATCCAAAGTACTCTGTGTGAGAAGAGGCAGAGGTAGATGTTTGCTCTCTCAGCAGTGGCCACTTCTAGGCATGGTTGAGCATTACTGACTACATGTTGAGCGTGTTTTGTTATTTTGTTGTGGGAAAATCACAAAAGTAATTTATTTTAAAGAACTAAGAAGAAGGTGTAACGTTGTACCTTGTTGCCCTAAAAATAGCTTCGAAACCATATAAATTATAAATAATTACAATAGATTATTCTAAAACTATTATTAAAATACACTAAATAAACAAATAGAAACACATCTTACTACTTACTAATTTAAAACGCATCAAAATAATTAATTTTATATAAAAACATTACGGAACCCAATATTAATTGTTTACGCAAAGGTCCTCGCTTCTATTGCGCCTACGCATCTCTAAACGAGTTAATAACTAGTCGTGTCGGCTCGTCTCGGGCGCATTCGTAAAATCCAACGAACAGTCAACTTAAAGGCATCAGAGGTGACGGCTGTGTCACTCGATCGCGGACGACCTACGTTGCAAGATCGTACTTACCTACCTAATTAAATCTACCTTAAATCAATTATATAAATTGTAATCGGAATCCCGCTGGGGTAAGTTTCCATGTATTGCTTAAGTGTTGCTATTGTAAGGTGTTTCTTCTTCTTAATTTCTCGCTAGCAGCGGCTATTCCTTTTTTTTCTTTGTCTGCTGGGACACTGTGACCTTTGGACCCGGCTACGTGGTCCGAGCTCTGCTAACGCTTGCCTTGTATCTGCGCTTCCAGGATTCATGTTCTACGATTAACCTCGCATCGCAGCCATCTACCTGGCGGATTTATATTCTACTATTAACCTCGCATCGCAGCCATCTACCTGGCGGCGAGTGGAAGACCAGACCTCCTTCTACCTGGGAACTACCTAGGCCCTGCTGAAGACCTGGAAGGCATTTGGAACGAGACCGGACCGCCTGCAGAGCTACTCCACGGTTCAGGCCAGTGTTCTCAGCGTACCTATTACCCCGAACCTGGACGTGATTGGGGCAACAGATATTTGGCAATAATAGAGTGAACTACTTCTAAAAAAAAAAAAGTGTACTTTATTTGGACCCCTACCTACCTACCTGCCGGCCACCTGACTCCTACAGGAGCCAAGTTGCCGCAGTGGCGCCCTTACCGTGGTTTCTGTTGCCTAATCACGTCTAGATTTTTCTGTATTTCTGTCGGCTGCTAGATTTTCATCTACCTACATCACATTGTGAACGAGACGGTGACTCAGCGAACTGGTACGTACGTAATCATATTATTGTATTCTTTTCTGTGTTTTATTTATTTTCTGTGTATGTCTTTTAATTTTCTTTCTGTTTTGTGTTGATTGTTAACTGTTGCGTATCGTATACGTACTGTTGGAAATAACATAACGGTTAAAAAAAAAATCGATCTACCTACATTTTAATATTATTTTGTTACAATGAAAAATAACTTGTTAACTACAAATTAAAAACTATTATTGTAAATTCTGACTAAAGCTACTTATTTTATTAACTATTTCTAAATAGTTAAATACGATTGTTATACGTAACGGTTCGCACATTTTCTTCCTTGCTTTTCTGTTCTATAATATTTATTTTTCATCTACCCATTTTTTCTTCTCTCATTTCATTTTATTTATAAACCCATTATTCATTTTTCATCACCTCATCGTAGTAAAAGTTGGTAGTTACTTATACTTGTAAAGAACACCATTTCAGTTGCTGTCTAGCAGTTAATGTTCTATTTCTGTTTTTATTTCTTAATTTCCACATTTTGAGCGTCATGGAAACCCACCCTATTAAATTTTTTTTGCTAAACAAAAGCGAATTAGTGTACGAGGTGCTTATTAGAGGCGAGGAACCTGCATCTACGGTGCTTGAACTTCGTAAACAAATTAATAAACTTACGCCTATTATTCCTACTTCTGATATTTTTGAATCGGGCATAGAACCGGACGTTGATAT